TAGTTATGAAAGAAACAAGATCGGCAAAAAAAAATCGAGATCGGCAGGTAAGGGTTCCTAAGGATCGGTGATCGTTGATCGGCCAGAAAACTGCAATCGGTGCACCCCTACTTACATACGGTACTAAATAAAAAGAGCGACCTCCACCCCCCACTCCTCAACCTGAAGGCAGAAAACCACCTTAAATATCCTAAACCCCTTCTTAAGACAGCTTCAATACCTAATGAAATATTACAGGTTCCCACGAGCAGTTAAGGGAAAAGGATGAAAAGCTGCAAGAGAATTTAAATGAATTCACAACGGGATGGTTTAATCTACTGTACCTTTCCTATCCAGCTGCAACTGTATATTTAGTATCACAAATTAGATTCGGAAACGATGACAAAAATACCTTAACTGGGCAAATTATTACCCGAGCATAATTCAGCGTGCTTATTACGAAATGACCAATTATTGAGATATTGCTGAAGGAACAGAAGAACGACTGTGGCTATTGTGGGCCGACATTTGCATTTCCAAAGAAAACGAAAGGGAGATTATTACCATCTTTTTTAAATTGGACACAGACAAAAAAAGATTAAAAGTAAAAAATGGCTTTGTCTGGTGAAACATTCAGCGGGGACCACAAGGTTGTCAAGGACAGCTTTAATAATAAAGGAAAATCCTGGCAGAAACATGGGATATTGGAAAACGGGGGCGTGACACAGAAATGCTTTTTGAGTGGTCCGGAGAGCGGGGTGCAGACGACATCCTTGACTGCACAGCTCCCTTGGGCGGGGGTGTAAATACTGTGAGGGTCCTGGGGGGGTGGGTGCGTGCGTATCCTGCATCCACCCTGCTTTCCTGAGAAAGTTAAAAAGCAGTCTCCTTACGATCCTCTCCTCTGCCTTTTGTTACATCTGTAGTTCTATTTATTACACACACGTGTTTCTGCATGCATATAAATACACACACACACACACGTTTCTGCATGCATATAAATACACACACACATGTTTCTGCATGCATATAAATACACACACAAAGACAGATCGCTTTAAAAGCTTAGCCTTCACTTTATCACCATGCAAACAGATTGCATATAAAACAGAAAACAGAGCCGGGCTTACACCTTACGTTGGCTGTGTCTCTATCGTGCTGCAACATTAAACCGGCACATTTACAGCCCATAATAAGTGTGTCCTCCATAAACAGTTTGGAGGCTAATGTGTTGGAGGTTTCTGCTATCGACAGCACTTATAGTCTGCGAGCCTCTCTCACTCCTGCCCTCCGTGTCGCCTTCGCCACAGAGCAGAAGGAGTATCAGAGTACAAGCTGTTCCTACCCCCCATCCTATCTGCCTCCAAGGGCAGACAGCCCCCTCCATCATGTTCCATGACACCCAACGTGCTGTGGTGCTGCGTTATCGTGCCACATCACTAACCCCTTCCTCCTTCTACCAGTCGGTTGAGAATCCACCCCGACCCCCACACATCCATCTGGGGGTGGACCACTCAGGTGGTATATTAGAGACCCCGCACCTTCAGAAGGTCTCAAGGGATCTCCACATGTGATCACATCATCTACACCCCAAAAATCCTCACACAAGCTCCACACTCAAATATTAATGCACCCATAAACAAACACGTAGTGTTTCTATTCCACTGAGAAAGGGGGGGAAAGCATTTATATCATCCTCAGTACAACTGAGAACATCTCACTCAAAAAACAAGACAATCCGTCTTCTGTTTTGGAGTGCTGATGTGTATTTTCTGACTAAATAAGCTCCATCCTGAAAATGCAAGGTATTAAGAAAGCAATGAGACGGGGATTAAACGCCTAAATTAATGTTAACGCAGCATGTAAGACTTTCAGAGACTTTCACTGCAGGTGTACTGGGACAGGGACAATCAGCCTGCTGCATTTAAGCACTGAAAGTATTGTTTGATATCTTATGAGAGCCGCCACGTCGGGCGTCTTTCAGGCAAAACAGGTTTGCGTTGAAAACAGAAACGCATCATCGTACCCGTGCATTAAAACAAAAGGCGCTATGAATAATGCAGGACCTCATTAATGTCAAAATTATGCCAAATGGCTTGAGCGCCTCTTCTGAAAACTAATATTTGTTCCTCTTTGTGTCATCAGGCAGCGCACGTCTACGCTGAGCACAATCCGCGATCGTGTGAATTTTGAAGTCCCTCCTTCTGCATCTCAAGTCACCTGTAGTCACTGATTCCATAGATGTCATGCATTCGAAAACACCCTAACATAAACTACAGGTTAACCCAACCAGACATGTATCATGCTTAAGTACTCGGAACGCATAAAATAGATATACTACGTGCAGAAGCTACTACAATCCCACATCAAGCAAATGAACAACATATAAGGAAAGCTACAAAGAAAAGCTTTACGAGATTCCTCTGTTTCGTCAATACATGCAATACCGGTCAGAGTCCGGCGAGCCGCAAGGGAACATCACCGCCGAGACAAAGTGAAACCGATGTTGGCGGCCCCCTACGTCGCTAGTAGAATTGACCGGCCCTGAATACTGTACATTTACATTGACATTTTGGGACATCATGGACTTCAGGATCGCAACTTTCCACACCTCCACCTGCGGTCTGCATTATCATCGCTCAAAATTTGTTTTTTATTACACTTTTATTCATTTAGTCAAATGCGTTCAATTTTCGCGACTATATATGATCGCATGTCTGGAAGTGTTTGGGATCGTGGGCAGCCTGAGTTTTGCTGTCAAAGCTTCGCCCACACAATTATCTGTGAACGAAAAACTGTTTCCACGGCATTTTGCCTCAAAGCGGTTATGACGTTTACTGGCCATCCGTTCAAGCTCGGGGACACTTGTAAAGGTTACTCTGAAATAATCAGTACTTCATTTTGCAAATGTTCATATTTAAAACAAGCAATATATCAATACAAGTATATTTATATTTCCAAAATGGCACAAATTAGGGAGCCCTGTACTCGATCACTGCTGCATTTTTCCTAAGAACGAGATCGGCTGGTGTAATTTAAATTTAGTTTGCTGGCATGAAACAGCAGACAAGTACATAATCATCAAAACTATATTCACAGTAAAATTGAAACTTTGTCCCATTTACTTATGACATCTGCCAGACTTAATATTAGGCTAAGTGTTTCAATATAGCTTAAGTGAGTTTTCACGATGAAGACATAATGCAGTACCGGTAGCGACTGAGTTATACAGTATTGCGTATCACACCCCAACATCCCATAGTAATGATTAAAAAAAACGTAGTGCGTAAATTATCATTCATTATTTTTTGAGTACAGGCTAGGCTTACTTGGCCTTTTTCCATAACTGCAAATACTGGAATCTACAACTGGCTTTTGACCAATACATAGGCTGGGCGAGTTACCGTGAAAAGGACGATATTAGGCCCGATCATTAGCAGCCGAGGTTGCACGGAAGCCAGCAATTCGGACACCATCTGCGCTGCGCTTCGCAGCGGGCGGCTCAGAGCAGCATCGTAGAGCCAATAACTGCTGACGCGTGTCCTAACGTCTCCTAACCTTTCCACATTCATCCGACATATTAGCCACCTGAAATAGCCGCATGACTTTTGTCACAAACTAACACGCCAATCAGTTCAACGACAAATATGTAATTCAGTATAACCCGGATCAGCAGATTGTACACCCTCCATTACATATAAATATAGCATTACAGTAGGCCTATGTTGAGTCCTGATATTCTTTTGCTAAGTTAAATCATACAGAGCTTAAGTCTTAAATGGTTAGTGAAATAACAGCAGTAATAGAAATGATTTCTTTTGAAAGGTAGGCCTACAATCATGAATGGCCTCTACCAAACATTTAAATCACTGCCTAAACACAATCATGGGCCCCCGCCCGATAAACACGCCGGCAATAGAAGTTACGCGGCACCGCTGGCCCGCGAGCTCCGCGCGGCTCGCGCTGCTGGCTTCCGTGTGAATGTGGAGCCGTCTGTTGCACTCGCCGCCGCATACCGTAAATCTATCACACTCATAAAACTGAGAAATTCACTTCAAAACACAAGGTCGGCTTGTTTGTTTATTTTTTAATTTTGTCATAGTTCACATATGTGGAAGCTGTATTCCCGAACGCTTCCCTAATGTTTTTCGGTAGGAAGAGATACAATGCAGATATTTTGTATGCGAAAAATGAGAAAGTAATGAGAAAAAGGCAACAATCTGCAAAAGAAAAACAAAACTTTATGTATGTTTAAAGGGGCAGGCCACTCGAAACCTGAAAAATATATGTTTAGAGGGGCTTTATGGGTATCTATCCATCTTGGTTGTTCTGCTGGGAGATGCCTAGTTTTAGAGAAACTGGTCGTAGAAATATAGGGCTTCTACCGAATATAACTGGAGTGAATGGCATTCTTTCTGTGGTGATTAAAGCACCAGAACAATACATTTGAAAAATTCAACAGCAATGTCTCTTACCAGAAATAACGACCCGGTTACTGAAGATAAACCAAGACTTACTAGTTACCAGTTTAATGTAATGTATTTCCTTCTACCGAACTCCACCCACCAATCGTATCGCTGCGCAGAAGATAGTACTGAGATGCTCGTGCTCGTATCTTCTACGCAGTGATACGATTGGTGTGTGGAATTCGGGTAGAAGAAAATAGTTCCTAATTATATTGCTTAATTAATTAACTGAAAACAGAACGACGTAGGTGGATAGATACTACTAAAGCCCCTCTAAAACATCTTTTTTCAGTTGTAAGGTGAACTGAACACTGGACGTCACCAGTGTGTCTCCCTCCAGGCCACAAGGGGGCCGCAGAAGCGCAACTGTGTCCCGTTTTGTTATGAGCAGCTGTGCCACTCTAATACTTTTCTTTTGGGAAGTATTAATAGAGTCCACACACCAGTACTACCAATAAGAAAGTACTTTAATATAAAGGAGTAACCGTCTCCAGATACAACTCATAAAAACAGAGAGTGCAACAACGCACTTTACCTTTATATAAGGTGAGCACAAGTGTCTTAAAGGTGCAGTGGCCTTTTTTTATTTGTAATAACAGCATGAGCCCCTGCAGAGGTTTAGTGGTTACAGTGACTAACTGAAACCTAGCTTCTATTGCTAAAAGTGAAATGCGGATTTACACGGTGTGCCTTAAGATGACAGAATGAGAGAATGGTGAGTCAGGTGCCCAAAGGTGATGGCTGACTGGCTCATCCTAAAAGAAAGACCGTGTCAAAGCAGCCAGCACTGTGTAGGGCAGTACTGCTGGCCGCATAACTGCCAGCCGGCTGCATGCAAACAGCTGGCAAATTTAAACAAAGCAAAATGAGTATGTTTTGGGGCTATATGGCTTTGTGGGCCAAACATACAATAAATGGTGCAGACATCCAAAATCTACAATCTACCCACATCCTCAGTTTCCCCCTGGAGCCCCTCCCCCCACTGTTTGCAAAATCACCAGCAAATTAATTATATATCCATGATTTTTCTTCAGGATGCTGACATTTGCCCAAGGCTGTGGGGATTTAAAAAGCTCCTTTTCAGGTGCACATATGTGGGGGTAACACTAGTCACGGCTGGTACTGTCACTAACTCAGCATTAGGAGGGTTTGTGAAGATGTGCAGAACCTGGGGCTCCAACAGACCATCCTAAAAAGGGCTTGAAAAGGTGCCAGAGGTGAAAGACGAGCCGGGAGTGTGCATAAGAGCAAATAGGCGCTGTGTGAGGGCTGCAGGCACAGGGGGGCTCTGCCGAGATGTTTACAGGAATTATGAATGAATAAAGAGGGACTTAGAGCACGATGTACGCCCTTTCTGGGAGAATGTCACCCCCAAGAGAGGACAGAACAGCGTTCTCTGCCTCTGAGATCCGGAATTTGGCTGACGGCCTCATTCCTGCCAAGAGGGACCAGAGCAGAGTGTCATTTTTCTCATATTTTTGTAACACTCTATAATTCAGACAAAAAAAGATTCATGAACCAGCAGCTGGTGTGTCTGTGCAGCCGTATGGAAATGTGTTTCATGGATAACAAAGGAATCGAGTGAATGAGCTGAGCGAGTACAGCGAGGCGTCCCCTCAGCCTGAGAGGGGGGCTGCGGTGCCGGTGCTGGGGAGGGACCCGGTCACGTCAGTCTCAGATAGGACTGGCGGTCCAGCAGAAGAGGCCATCAGCATCCTCTCCATCCATCCGAAATTCTCTGTCTGACACCTTGTCTCTGAGTCAGCATTCCGGAATATCACCGATTGATGGGTGGCCAGGCACACTCTCACTTATCATGTGTGCCCCTGAGTTCAAAATGTTTGAAACCAGTGGGAAAACCACTCCATTTGTATGGTACCTACAATGTGATTAATTCTCCCATTCTGACAGCAGTTGCCTCGTTGCCAGGGCACTTGAGAAAAATTTGATAATGCTGCATATTTATTAAAGTCTCAGGTTGTTTGGCTCCCGTTTAGTTCTTATATCAGTGCCATCCCATCGGAATACGTACGTGGCCCAAATGCTAATGACTAATTCAGCCCCTTTAATCATATTGGATTGAGGGAGGAGAATTACAAATGAATTGTCTCATTGGTAGGAAGTGATTGAAACACTATGAGGAGTGAATTGACAAAAGGCATACTTAACACGGAGCGGTGCTGTGGAGTTTAAATCCCACCTCCCACTGTGGGGGTGCAAGTTCTCCCTACCTACCCTGGAGGTGGACTGCCGTCCCGTATAGCTGCGTACCCTGGAGGTGGACTGCCGTCCCGTATAGCTGCGTACCCTGGCGGTGGACTGCCGTCCCGTATAGCTGCGTACCCTGCCGGTGGACTGCCGTCCTGTTTAGCGCGTACCCTGGAGGTGGACCGCCGTCCCGTATAGCGCGTACCCTGGCGGTGGACTGCCGTCCCGTATAGCGCGTACCCTGGAGGTGGACTGCCGTCCCGTATAGCTGCGTACCCTGGCGGTGGACTGCCGTCCCGTATAGCTGCGTACCCTGGCGGTGGACTGCCGTCCCGTATAGCTGCGTACCCTGGAGGTGGACTGCCGTCCCGTATAGCGCGTCCCCTGGAGGTCATCCTATCCATCAGAAGGGTCAGAGAGATTCCATCAGGGGGGATGGGGGGCATGGGGCACAGCTCAGGTCAGTCAGGTCAGAGGCTGAGATTATCAGGTACACTACCAGCAGCATTTTAAAATAACATGAACAAATTGAGGAAAGAGACCAATCGAATAGCAATCATAGCTTTCATTTAACTTAGTGCTGTTATCTGTCAAATTAACACAGAGCAAAGAGATAAAGGACAAAGGTTTTTAAAAATCATGATTGGCACAGAAGGTATTACCTCACACTGCTTGGGTTGGTGGTTTGAATCCCATCTCATCCTCTGTGATAACCACAGATCCCAGACATGCACTTGAACTGATTGTCATCTCTGAATATCCTGTAATAAGTGATTGTGTGTGTGAATGTCCCGGACAGGGTATACCCCTGCCTCACGCCTGTCCCAAACAGGCTCCTGGCCCCCAGTTATCCTGTCCTTATAAAGAGGATTGAAAAACTGGAAAAGTTCAAAAGGATGTCAGCTTTAACAGAGACACGATCTGCATCAGAAGAAGAATTCTCACAAAGTAATGAAATCAGGCTGGAAGCTTGTTTTAAATTATCTACATAGCTTGGAAAGTGTTTCCCCACCACAGCACCTCTACTGTCGAAACCTGCCCCCCCTTTATGGTGTCAGGTCTGTGCCATTTCTAAAGGCGTGCGTGATGCAGGGCCCTCATTACTGGAAAAAAACAAGAAAGCGAGCTAAGAGTACAACCTGGACTTCCCTATCATGGTGCCGTGTGGGAAATGCGTATTTTCAACCATCTCATACATGTCAAAAAGGGGTTTGACCCTCTGCCAGGGGGGAGGACAAACGATTGTTGGCATTTGTGAAAAGTCAGCCTCCACGGGTATCAGGTGCACCTCCCCCCCCACCCCCCCCACCAACAGGTGCTCAATGCTCTTCCTTCCTAATTAGCGTCAAGTAGAAGCCTATACCCTTCAAGGCCAAATTAGCTCAGCAGCGTGCTAGGCTAGCCCAGATGGGACGCACGCCAGTCTCTGTGGCGATTGCCGCAGCGTCTGTGACAGCACGACACACCCTGACGGGTGCTGCTTTCAACATTTAAAGGAAGTGTGAGGGCTGGGCCACCAGGGGGGGGGGGGGGGGCAGGGCAGGAGGAGGACAGCATGGGGGCAGGAAGAGGCCTCCCACGCCCCCTGCAGGCATTAGCTTCTGTCAGGTCTCGTGCATCGGGGGGGAGGCCAATGTAAACAAATTAGATTGTCGTTTGCCAGTCGAAGGGAGGAGCCACAGATTAACTGGGTTAATCTGCCAGAGCCCCGAAGGTGGCGCCATCCCTGTCGCTACCCTGTCCCGCTCCCCGAGAAGCTGGCGTGAAGACACATGACAGCCCGCATGCTATAATGGCCCTGCCTTTCTGTGGGCACCCAGTCCCCAACACAGAGCTCCGGCAGGTTGGTTGCCCTCGGAGGGGACCTGCCCCCTCCCTGGTGGGTCTTGCCGCCTGAGCACACGCTGGCTGTACACACCCGCCACCTCACACGTCTCCTATCCTCTGGAGTGGCTCCTCCTCAGCCCCCGAATTTGCTGTGAGGCGGGAGCCGGCCCACAACATATCCTTCGGAGCGGGATACTCAGGGAACCCTGAACTGTCACCTCGGTTTAATCCCCTGGATGGCTTTGATCACTCGCCTGCCATCGCTGCCAAAACCACCACATATGTGAGATCCATTTGAGCGGGTGCCGTAATCCATTTCAATTATCACTCCGCACCCCTCGACCAGCCCCCTCCCTCGCCTGGCCTTTGTTACGCAAGGTTGATCGCCACATTGAAGGCTAGCAGCAATTCAGTGGCAAAATACCAGCTTTCCAGCCAGCCATTGCACAGTTTGGGCTGCAGATGAGACTCCCTCCTAGTATTCCATCACATTTTAATTGGACGGCCCAGGATACACTTGAGTTCTAAGGTAAACACACACACACACGTCTTCTAGGGTAAACTCACACATTTTCTGGGGTAAACATACACATACTTATGTTCTGGGATAAAAATACACACACGTGTTCAGGGGTAAACACATACACATAGACAAGTTCTAGGGTAAACACACACATGTGTTCTGGGGTAATCACACACACGCATGCTCTCTCTCTCTCTCTCTCTCTCACACTCTCCTATACATGGATGTTCAAATTCTCAGAATTGTCACACAGGATTTTCCCCCCCCTTGGAATATCAGTGTAACAACTTTGAATTTCTAGAAAGTCTCACAGGACAGCCATCTAGGACAGGCGTGGGCAATCTTATCGACAAAGGGCCAGTGTGTATGCAGGATTTTGGGAGAACCATAAGGTGTGAGGATTATTCAGCCAGTCAGTTCTCTAATTAGTAATCGAAGTAGGGAGTTGCACCAAAAACCCGCATACACAGCGGCCCTTTTTCTGGATAAGATTGCCCACCCCTGAAGGAGGGAACAGGAAAATTTGGGCACCC